CAGTCATGCATGGATGGATTTTGTTCAGATTTAGCACAATGTGTTGTACATATGCAGGTGCATTTCGGTCATGATCTGCTTTGAATGTATATGTCACTCAAATATGAACGGAACGGGGACGTGTCATTGACAATGACTTGTTAGATATTTAGTTATATGAACAATGTCAATGTTTATAGAGTATTTTTTTTTTATTAATTATACAATTCACATTATATTGAATAAATAGTTGGACAATGTGCGAATTGTATGTTATTATGATATGTTTTATTGTACATGAATCTCAAGCCCAATATACATTAGATAAATAATACTTGAATATGCAAATTTTGAATAATGTGAATGTGAACAAGTAAACTGGTGTTTCAAGTAAACATTTTGTCTTTCCTGAATGATTTGGAAACTAGCATTAACAGTATGCATGATGGATTTACAGCTGTTCAGTGATAAGGGTATTTACAGGTGAGTATTTGAATTCTTGTACATAGGGTTATTAGAAGATTTCCATACAAAACCTATCAACAATTTGGATTAAAAAAAAGTATATTTTTCCTGCTGTATTAAACATACAATGCGGATGAAAAACAAATATTTTAAGTGCCCGCTCGGAAACAGTCCAAAAACGGGGATTGACCTCTGTGCATGCATTAATACATCCATGTGTCTGAGCGTGCATTCGAACCTACATCTTAGGCATGCCTGGACTGATTACATTCAAACTTCACACATACATCATACATAATATATGTACATACATATGCACATCAATTTGTTTTACAATCTGATTCAAGATGGCCGAATGGCTGCCATTTTTGTTCTGAATAATCATCAAAATCAAGCATTTCTGGCATTCCAAAACCAGGTCTTGGCTGTTTACAGATGGATTTTGTTCAAACTTCCCTGACGCATGACATTTCCCTTTTTAGATCGAATTCAAAATGGCTGACTGGCGGCCATTTGGTTTTAGTGAATGTGGTTTTGACATGCTTTGACTGATTAAATGTATGTTCAAATTTTATATATTCATTATACATCATGTCACATATTCTTCTGTTTGGTTATTTGTCCAAAATGAACTTGTTTCGTTTCCATCGATTATCCAATACTAGTACGACTAAAACAGTTATCCTGTTCACAGTCCCTCTATCTACTATTTACCCGCTACGCGCAATAGGACAGCGGCCGTTTCGTGACCGGTGATAAATGGACTGCGTCCTGTTACAATCAGAATGATTGTCCGAGAACGTACCATTTCAGGTGAGTGGCATTGCACGTCTCGGTGGGCGGAACCCTAATTAAGAGTCTCCGTTTGTCGGGTGCATGCTGTCCGTCGGAAACTATTGTATTGAGAACAGTGTAAACACAACTTACACGCCGCCTTTCTCAAAAAGTTTGTGTTGAATTGAAACAATATTTTCGCAACTCAAAGTTTATTATGTAGTTTAGGGCGTATAAAATATCTGTCTCCGCTAAGTACACACCACGTGAATGTTTCAGTGCCATTTTTCAGCGGAAATTATTAGTTTATTTATTTAGAATGTTTCTTTTAAGGCAATTACAAGTTGCGGCCTTTCAAACGATTCGACGACCCGAACAAACTAACATGAACGAAAAATGTGCCCTTTCAAACGCTTCGGCGATCCAAACAAACATACATAAACGAAAAATGTGCCCTTTCAAAATCTTCGCGAACGGAACAAAAAGAACCTAAGCAAAAGAATATTTCATACACATAGTGCCAATTTGCTTGTTGACATTGTTGTGATATGTATTAGTTGCAAGAGAAGCCGAAATATAAAGCAGACTTCCCACACGTTTTTCGTTGTCCCGTACGTTGTCTATTAGAGTATTTACGATTCACTTACTGTTGCCCCAGCAAGATGTGAGACGGTTGATATCTGATCATTTATCGTAGTAGTACAAATAGCAATTGTTGCGTGACAGCACAGTCCCAGGATTTTGGGACTGTGGTGACAGGTATGAATCATTGTCACACTGTATCAATCGACTTTTGTTGTACTGTAATCTCCTAGTTACGACTTACTCCTGGTCAGGAGGTGGCATTAAACTGAATCTCGCCGGTCATTACACGTTCTGCTTCCCTGCTGTCGCTTTGCAGACCAATGAAGTATATCACAATAACCATAAACAAATAATAAAATTGTTTTAGGATTAAGTTGGAGTTTTTGCATTTTGAATCCACAATCGAACAAGTTACTCATTAGATATATGAGTTGACAAAAATGTGTGTATTTATGTTTATCTTAAGTTTTTAAGGTATAATTTTCCAGCTTACTAATGGCCCGTGCGAGCGGACGATGTATTTGCAAGAAGTGCGTACTTCCTAGTAACCAAGGCATTGCATGGAGGTTTAATTTAAAGGCGGGTTATATTGCGTAATACTAATTGTTTTGACGTAAGAGGAATTGATCAAAATAAAACGTATGTTTTGTAGGACATTCTTTAGACTGACCGGGAAGTGGGTGGTGCAGATCTGGACTAGGAATGATACATGTGTGTGTCTATGTTCTCAGAAGTAGTGATGTTTTTATTATTCCCTCCGGTTCGGTCATTTTTTCGGCACATTTTTCATTATGATTTGAGATCCTACCGGGACACGCCCTTCCCGTGAGAAGTCATCATTGAAAAGTGTGTTGTATTGTCGTGAGGAAAATCCCTACGTGGTATCGTTCAAGAGTTTGTAATGAGGACACAACACAAATGGAAATCAACAAAGGGCAAGTCATATGACTCAACGAGTGGTTAGATTTGGCATCGAGTATAAAAGATGGGGCATAATCTTTCCCTGACATACTACACTCTATTTGGAAACCGCCAGCATTGTAGCATGACACTACGGATATCTCGAACACCCCTCTTACTGGTATGTCTTCTGCTGACGTGTCAGGCATGCTACGGTCGAAGATTAACAGCGAAGTCCAACAGGTCGTTCTTCATCAAATCCAGGGTGGTCGGAGAGTCACAACATCGAATCAAACGTTCCACAAACTATGACTCTGATACCAAAACTGTCATCGTGAACAGTCACAACGCTCATCGTGGAGATGTCGATCCCCAAGCCACAAACATGGAATTTATAGTAAGTAATGTTTTAATTAGTGAATATATACTAGAAGATATATACATTTTACTTATATAAGTATCTGTTACTTTCTAAGTTTGGTCATCGACTGCAATATTTTGTTATTTTGCGCAAAACAAAGTCGATATTATCTTGAGTTCACGCGTCTCTTCTGAATTTTAAGCCGCAGTGTACGTGCAATTATGGGCTGTTTTTCACTCAATTGAATCGAACAAGTTATTCATAATAAAAGCTATCAAAAGCAAGCGGAATGGATTAAAGATCAAAGCACAGAATTACCAACGGACCACGACCTTCTCAACACAGTGAATATACATTATAGATTATGCTAAATAATATTTTAATGAATAGGACGAGTCTGACCGATGTCTATACACGTAATGTGTGTCGTTGTTACTGAATTTAATTGGGACGAATATTGGGGTTTATCGCCGATGTAAGTATCCATCAGCAACTACTAAACCATAAAACTGCCGCAGTCAACTCGTCAAATTAAAATGAATTCATCTCAAATTACACAAATCTACAACAATGTCATCAAGTTGATGGAGAATCACGTAGATGTTGCTTTCCCATGATGATTGGGCGATAGTCGTCGTGCCGCGTCCTGATCGATATGGGACTCTTAGCGACGTATACAACGCGTGTAAAATACATTGTTCATTTACATGAAATTCGAACACGCGCTGCGCGACGACCACCGCGCTTTAGCCATGCATCGTCAACAGCAATTTATCGACTGGTAGACACATATTATGTATATGGGGGTAAATATACTGTAGTAAGCATTTGCAAGGATATTGACCAATGAACCTAGAAACTACGTAATCTGTCAATTGCTTGCAGCTATCGGTGAATAACTTGCAACAGACGTGTAAACAATTGTAATTGCAGTTTGAGGAGTTGGAAGCCGGGCACCTTGGTGTCCAGCTGGCTAGCCACAATATAATCCCCTTGAATGACAGAATTCGTTACATGTCACGGTAACCAAAACCAATTGGAAGACGAAATTCATTCCTAAA